AAAGTATGCGGATCTGTCGGCATAATGTCAAGTCACTTGTCCCATTTGCCCCAAAATTGCCAGATTAATTTTTATAAATCATACATTCTTCCCCTCTTCACGTACGGCTTCCCTGCCTGGTCCACCATTAACAAAACCCGCATAGGTAAATTGGAAGTTCTCCATCGCCGTATACTGCGCATCATATTTCGTACTGATCGTTATATCTCAAATCTAGAATTGTATGCTGCTGCATCCACTACCACTCTGCAACACTACCTTGATGCTTCCAAGTGCACCCTGGCACATTCAATAATTTTTCTTGACCAGCACCCTGCTCATTTACAGTCCCTAATTGGTTTAAGTCAGGTGGCACCACCCGAAGCTGCGTTCGTCTCCCCCTAGCTAGGTCTACCCTATTCGTAAATTCCCCTTTCTTTTCCTCCTACTCCACGTAGCTCGAACTGCCTTCCAGTGTTAGACAAGCTCCAGATATGCCCAAATTCCGTACCCTCGTCAGACAGCACTTCAGTATCTCCCAGTAAACAAAATCACAGCCACCACTTCCGCTGCATAGCTCGCTGAGCATCCCATTGCTTTGTAAGTTGCTAATCCCTTCCCACTTTGTGTACGTGCTCTTCATTTTCTTCTTTTTTTCTCTTCTTCCGTGGTTGGTCTCACCCTCTCCTCAATTCAATTGGCTGTCTTGACATGCCACGAGGTGCAGAAATAAATAAATAAATAAATTGAGAGGGCAAACAGCCATCAATGAGGTGGTGCATGGTATAATTTCGGCTTTGTTCTGAATTTGAATTTTTTAAGGATCTCCTAAAGTTTCCCAAAGGCTCGGCCTATCCGGGGAGGGTTGTGGGGGATCCCCTAATGGTGCAAATAAGCATGGATGCAAATGAGGCGGAAATATAAGAAACTTCAAAACAATCTTCACTGTGCATAGTTCGAAACTCTCTCTCTCCTCCCCCCCCCCCCCCACACACACACAATGGTTGCCTCTTTGCTTTGTCATACCACAACCATTCAATGCGGTGAACCCCTCGATAGGCGATTTGCCTTTGGGTCATCCTAATAAAGTTATTATTATTTTTATTATTATTATTATTATTTCAAAATTTTGAAGGACGCTTCACGCAGCTTCATTATACTTGAATTGTTTGCAGGCAACCTGCCTACACTCAAGAGAGCACTGCATTTCACATAAATCCATTGGTATCGTTACAACGTTTCGGTCTTTATGACCATCATCAGGAATGAAGTGGACATGGAAATAACAGCAGTATAAAAGAAGGAGGCAAGCAAGCAAAGCGCGGTACATAGTGACAGCGCGCGTAGAGAAGTGCAAAGCACGTCATGGCGGGTGTGCATTACTACATATACATGACAACACAAGCACAAACGGCGAGGAAAGTAGATACTGCGCTACAGCAGTGATAACAGCCCAGTTACAGTCTCACACCACCAGCGAGGTGTCTAGAGCCCCGCGCCACTCGCAGTAAGTTGGTGTTATAGCAGATCCCAGCCACTGTTGTTATTAATTTCCGGGGATCGCTCCCTGATATTGATGGCCTCCCGGATCCTCCTCCTGGGGCGGTCACGCTCAGAACCGAGAACCCGGATACCTGAGAAAGCCGTTGCTCCCAATGGCAATGGGTCAGATGCATGCTTGGCCGCGAAATGCTCACCCAGCGCGGTGCCGCTCACTGTGTTGCGTGCGTCGTCGTTGTGTTCTTTTGTCCTGGTAGCGAGGCTGCGGTACGTCTCTCCGACATATTTATCACCACATTTGCACTCGAGGTGGTATACCACGTTTCGCTCTGTGCATGCTTCTGAACCGGACATGCAGGCGACACAAGCAGCCTTGGGCCGCCCCCGTTTACGGGGCTTGGACGGGTCTACATACCTGCGACATGGTGGTTTGCGGAGGGCAGACGTGCAAATCATAGAACTTAGACGGCGGTTCCTGTAAATCAGCTGGGCATTTATCTTGTACTTCCGGAGTAATTTATGAATTTTGTTGTGGATATACTCGGTGTGAAACGGTAGGTTGAGGGTGACACGGTATTCATTCTGCACTCTGACACGTCGGGGGCGCATAGCTCGTTCACGTGCCGAAACTATAACTGACTCTGGGAAGTTGTTGAATTTTAGGATGTTGGTTACTTTTTCTTCACTTCTTTTTAGGGTGTCGGCATCGGAGGATAGGCGGACGGCACGCAGGAACTCAGAGGAAGCAATTGCTTTCTTTTGCTGGTTGGGAACTGACGAGTTGTAGTCTGATACCAGTCCGCTGTGACATGGCTTACCGCAAGCCATGTCACAGCGGACTGGTATCAGACTACAACTCGTCAGTTCCCAACCAGCAAAAGAAAGCAATTGCTTCCTCTGAGTTCCTGCGTGCCGTCCGCCTATCCTCCGATGCCGACACCCTAAAAAGAAGTGAAGAAAAAGTAACCAACATCCTAAAATTCAACAACTTCCCAGAGTCAGTTATAGTTTCGGCACGTGAACGAGCTATGCGCCCCCGACGTGTCAGAGTGCAGAATGAATACCGTGTCACCCTCAACCTACCGTTTCACACCGAGTATATCCACAACAAAATTCATAAATTACTCCGGAAGTACAAGATAAATGCCCAGCTGATTTACAGGAACCGCCGTCTAAGTTCTATGATTTGCACGTCTGCCCTCCGCAAACCACCATGTCGCAGGTATGTAGACCCGTCCAAGCCCCGTAAACGGGGGCGGCCCAAGGCTGCTTGTGTCGCCTGCATGTCCGGTTCAGAAGCATGCACAGAGCGAAACGTGGTATACCACCTCGAGTGCAAATGTGGTGATAAATATGTCGGAGAGACGTACCGCAGCCTCGCTACCAGGACAAAAGAACACAACGACGACGCACGCAACACAGTGAGCGGCACCGCGCTGGGTGAGCATTTCGCGGCCAAGCATGCATCTGACCCATTGCCATTGGGAGCAACGGCTTTCTCAGGTATCCGGGTTCTCGGTTCTGAGCGTGACCGCCCCAGGAGGAGGATCCGGGAGGCCATCAATATCAGGGAGCGATCCCCGGAAATTAATAACAACAGTGGCTGGGATCTGCTATAACACCAACTTACTGCGAGTGGCGCGGGGCTCTAGACACCTCGCTGGTGGTGTGAGACTGTAACTGGGCTGTTATCACTGCTGTAGCGCAGTATCTACTTTCCTCGCCGTTTGTGCTTGTGTTGTCATGTATATGTAGTAATGCACACCCGCCATGACGTGCTTTGCACTTCTCTACGCGCGCTGTCACTATGTACCGCGCTTTGCTTGCTTGCCTCCTTCTTTTATACTGCTGTTCTTTCCATGTCCACTTCATTCCTGATGATGGTCATAAAGACCGAAACGTTGTAACGATACCAATGGATTTGTGTGAAATGCAGTGCTCTCTTGAGTGTAGGCAGGTTGCCTGCAAACAATTCAATTATTATTATTATTATTAATCTGGTGCAGTCATTAGAGGAAAATGTGCAAAGAACTGGGGGGGGGGGGGGGGCATTGAGGCCAGATATCATATCGAACACCTTTTGCCACTAGTTTCCGAGCAACATTCTAAGAGTAAGACTAGAAAGGGAGGAAAACTGTTGGGCTTCTTGTGTTGGAATTTGGAAGAACTATGAAAGACAGAGGAAGACAACGGACCGGCGTACCTCAAGCTGAACATGAAAACGATGCAAAACAGGAAGAAAAACATGGACACATGGACACGAGTTATGAGCAACTGCCGGCCACTGTAACTACAGTCTACAGTGCTGGCAATTGAAATCCGACCCCTGAGCGGTGCGCTCACATCGCAAAGCCCCAACACGGGATTGTAAAACTACGCAACAGAGACCGCTAGAATGTGAACGCACCGCTCAGGGGTCGGATTTCAGTTGCCACTTGCCACCGGTGTACATGTAGATAGTAGAGAGGTTCTGCACAACGAAAGTTCGAACGAAGTTTCGCGACAGGCCTTGCGAAAGTGTGTACGAATTTTCGCACGAACTTTGTGTTCTGCACATTTTCGTAGTTTGCACGCGCCAAGTGCACGTACGACATGACCCAATCTCACGAAACTTCCTACGAAAGTTCATTTCGCGTTCCCTGCAAGTTTCGCGTCCAAAGTTGCGAAAGTTCGTGCGAAGTTTCTCACTTCGTGACGTAGAGCGAAAGTTCGTACACATTTTCGTTTTGCAGAACCTCTCTAGTATGTACAGTCAACTTCGCTAATAACGACTGCGGATATAACGACAATTCGCGAATAACGACAGAATTTCCATGCCCAGAGCAAAGTCCATACTACCTGGATACATTATAATGAGACTTCGGGTATAACGACACTTCGCGAACAAGGACACTTTTCTGATACCCGGCGGAGTGTTGTTATACGTGAAGTTGACTGTAGTCAAAAAGTGCTACAATTACTTGTACATGATTGTACTGCATTAGGCATCAAAGTGACAGAGCGCTGAAGCATTCAACGACCCGACACCTAGCTCCAACAAATCTCCAGTGCGCATACCAACAGCCCTCCTACTTGAAAGGTTCATGGTAAGGGAACGACCAAAGTCACTTTTTTTATCTGGTCACCAATGGTCAATCCTTTCTATTTTTGTGTAAGATTTTATCTGATCAAATCCTATCCTTCTGTTACCTAATGACTAATGTTCTGCAAGGATGTTAGGAAATGATCTTCTCGACCTCAAATTGGTCAGTTACACTCCGTGTTTTCGGTTTTTCAACAGGGTTCTTTTTCCCGCAGATCTATCTGTAACATATTCAGTTACCTTCGGTGACTTCTTTCACTTGTGAGTGTTTTCTCCTCCCCTCCCCATTACTATTATTATTAAATGTGTCATGTCGCTCGCATGTATAAAAGAAGGCGCCATCGCTTGCTTGTGTTGCGACTTTAAATAAAATTCCACAACAACAACAACAACAACAACAACAACACCACCGTGCAAGCGATTCCCTGAATGAGGATATGCCGATGCTTGGGTCTGAGGTGGACCCATCATACGGAATTCTCAACAAGAAGATCATAATGTAGAGCTAGTTAGACATGAGTGCTTGGCTGAGGAATAATCCATTGTGCTTTTTAGAGACATATTCTTGGAGATGCATGAAAGCGTAGTGGTCGATCGCGATCGTGGCTACACAGCAGTTGGGCTTGGAGGGAACCAGTAGCAGGCATTAATTGCGTTGAATAGCTCACAGACGCGCGGCATAGGCGGGCGTTTGGACGGATCTTTGTCCCACAGGTGCTGGATGGTGGCAGCTAGAATGCGAGGAGAAGCTGAGACATCGGGCCGATCCACTCCATTGCCGACATTTCTCTCCAGTTGACGTAGCGTATAGTCAATGAAGGCCTCCTTGCGCACTACAACTTCATAGACCACCAAGGCTAGCGAGTACACATCCGCGGCATACAACTGCGCCAGGCCGAGTCGCTCACCTCGGAGCACCTCTGGAGCTGAGTAGCGTGGCGTGCCCTGCCCCGGAGGAGCCGTAGCCGAGCCTGCGCGGCTGCTCGAGACCTCCGTGGTAGACCTGATGAAGCTCAAACCGAAGTCGCAGATATTGGCGTGATCATCTTCATCCAGGAGCACATTCTCCGCTTTCACGTCACAGTGTGCAATCCCTTCGGCGTGCAAGTGTTCCAGAGCGGCGCAAATCTCCAGCACGATCGTCTTTTGCTTGTCGCTGGAGAACTGTTCTTCGTGGAGGAACAGGGCTGTGAACAAACTGCGCCTCATATACTCCATGACGATGCTGAACTGTGGTGGATCGAGTACCACGCCCAGCACCGTGACGATATTCTGATGCTGCACTTGTGACAGGACTTGCAGCTCTCGCTTGAACGTGTCTATTCTGCTTCGCGACCACGCCTGAAGCTGCAGGCACTTGACGGCAACAACGGTTCCCCGGTAGCGTGCGGCGAACACCTCTCCGAACCCACCATGTCCTATGGCCTTCTCCAGTGTGATTTCTTGCTGCTGGATAACTAGACTGTCGGCTTCTTGATCTGAGCATAACATGTACACAGAGATTGCAGCCGTGTTTCAGGCGGGGAAAAGGTGCAAACAGAGGCGGGCCGAGTCGGAGCTCACAGTATAGCAAATTCCCCAGGCCTCATCCCCAAGACAAAGCTAGCTAAAGTGAATACAGTCAACTTCGCTAATAACGACAGAATTTCCATGCCCAGAACAAAGTTCCATCCAACTGTAATACATATAATGAGACTTCGGGTATAACGACACTTCGCGAATAAGGACACTTTTTTGATGCCCCGCCGAATGTCGTTATAAACGAAGTTGACTGTACATAAGTAGCAAGAGTGCATAACCGGGGTGGGTTATGTGCTCTTGGTAGTAGCGTAGTCATCACTGGCTATCCGCACTGCTGCATCACCATCCTTATTTCGCCATGCATTACTTTTATTCTTAGGGTACCCCGTAGGAAGACATTGAGTCTGTGGGGACTGCCCTATTAATATGAATAAATAATCATAATAATAACCGGTCGAAGATCTTAAAAAGAATATGCTTTTCTGAAGGTGATCACGTACCTGATGTGATGACTTTTTGAAGATCGGTCGTCGCGGAAATGCCTCGCTCGAACCATTCCTCTTCAACTTCTGCTCGCTGGTGATGATCGTAGGCTTGTTGAATAGCGTGTTTCTCCTCCCATTTTGCCTGGCGGTCAAGGATGGACAGTGCATGATCTTCCAATACCTTACGAATTTCGTCAGCTGTGGTTTCGTACAGAGCACTTTTGATGCGCTCGAGTTGCTGCGGTCTACTGATTGCTTCAGATGATAGCCCGTGGCCGTGCTCGCCATGCTTTCTTGGAATAGGCAAGCCGACGCGGCCCAGGCGACGGTTAATCGAGTTGTCTACATAATGCGTTCGCTTTCTCGTATCACCGGGAAATGCAGGATCTTGCTTTATGCTGGCGTGCTGGGCGGGAAGAGCCTCTGCCAGGTCAGTCGTCCATTTGCACGGTGCTTGTTGAGCCGGTCTTAAACCAGGTGTTGAGCCCGTGTGGGAAACAGCGACTTTAGTTCCATCAGACCGAGTATAGACATCCACATGTACAAAGTCTTCAACGCCTGTTGAACGTGATGGGATAGGTGTTGATGTGGCAGCTGTGCTTGACGATTCGCGAGTGCCGCCTGCTGGAGAAGAGGACGAGGGGCGTAGCGTTGCTGGTTGAATATATCCAGCTGAAGAAGAATTTGCAGGTGTTGAGCGAGTATACCCACTCACATACGTACCATTGGAACGCGTATAGCCACCGACACTGACGGAGCCTGCTTCCCCGCCACTAGTTGGGCGTGAAGAGGAAGAACCTGACGATGCTGAGCGAGTATACCCATTTACGTACGTACCATTAGACCGGTGGTAGCCGCTGACACTCACAGAGTCTCCTCCCCCGCCGCTAAATGTAGATGCCCGTGAAGAGGAAGACGAAGAGGAACCTGACGACGGTGCGGAGCGAGTATACCCATTTACATACGTACCATTCGCCCGGTAGTAGCCGCTGACATTCACAGAGCCTCCTCCTCCTCCTCCTTTGCTACGAGGCATGCCGCAATTGAACTGCAAGGTTTACGACCGTAGCGACTCTGTGAGCCCTTCAACAAGGTTTGGAATATTGATTCTCACGGTGGCCTGTGCTTTTACTAGTGATTGATTGAATGTATTTACTTCGCTACTACTACTACTAGTGGCCACGGGTTGTCTTAGAACTGCAGCATACTTGCACGTAAGACTGCCTGATGTCTCAATGGATCCGGCGCCTTTCTCCCTGCGTCTCTTTTTAAACTCACAAATCTCCGTCCTTACCTATAACTAGTATAAGGAGGAGTTGGACCTGAGGATATCCTTGCTTTCAAGCCGTGCCGAACTCGGGAGTAGTACAATGGTCTTGTGCTACCACCATGCAGATCTACCACTCCCCTGTACTATACCATGTATACTCCCTGGCAAAAAACATCAAACAAAAGGGGCACCGGGCCGGAATACCCAGATGCCTCTACTATAATGTACGTGTAGCTGGTCGATCGTGCACGTGATCAACTCATTATTATACCGGTAATACTAATAACACAAGCAGGCGTCACGCGGCTCGGAGCTACACTATTCTTTGCTACTGACATGTCCGCGGTGAATCGCTGCTATACGAGCATGTACACACACATGTACAATGAATAGCTAAACCGACGAAGTACATTAATTTTATCGTGCATACAGGACCCCAGTGGCGTTGCGCTCCTGGACCGGACTGGGCAGACGCTCAGGCTGCCACCTTTGTATGGAGACGCGTCAGCCGCGAGACGTACACGCACCGCTGGGAGTAGGGAGTCTACGACTCAGTCCCTGCCCATCGAACATGACAGTTGACAGCTTGTCAAGCGTAGTTTGGCACTTCGCTTGACAATCAGCCATATTCCTCTTTTCGGAACCCTCACGATCCGAATGTGAAACACATGATCTGAGTAGTAAATCAGTCATGGTCGTATCATCAAGATGTTCTACGTGCGTCAGCGTTGTGACAATAATCGAAACACTGACGCGGTATGTTCGGCATGGTTTAGGTTCTGCCTTCGCGCTCTGCGGTAGGAGTAGCTTGCGTGGCCGTGCACAATCTACAGGAACACACTAACATAGTATACTGCATGTAAGGATGGATCTAGGGTGTGCTAGCCAGGGATCTAGGCCTACATGTATTTGTAGGTCAGGCCAGGTAGAAGGCTAACGTTGGCTATGCTCAGCATGCCTGAGACCAGGGAGCCGGGCACACATACATACGTACAAACAAGGCCGGTCCAGGCTGCTCGAGGTAGAGTGCTCAATGCACAAATGTGCAGAGCAGTCACGATACACACACAACAGAGAGGCGAAAGGCTGTATCAGTTTCTGTAACTTCACCGATCATCAGACAGTTACGAGCAGGCTTAGATATTTGGAGCTAGAGTGGAAGTTAGAATAGTGTGTGTGATGTATAGACGTGGCAATAGGACAGTGCCATTCAGTTGTTGTGAGGGTTAACGGATATAAAAAAATACATCAATGCGAGACTACGCACAACTTCCACACTAGCTCCAAAATATCTAGGCCTGCCCGTAGAGGATTCGATAGCAAATGCTGCTGTCTGATGATCGCTGAAATGCGTGAAACTTAAAAAAAAGTTAAAATACAGCTACACAGCCTTTCGCCTCTGTTGTGTGTGCGCGTACACACAGGTACCGTATATGTATGTGTATATGACTAGGCCGGCTCCCTACCGGAGACCAGGACCAGGAACTGTAAAACTTTTTTTTTTTTTTTTTTTTTTTTTTCCTGAGTAAAATCAGTGAGCATGTCATGAAAATAAATCCGAGAAGAAAGAAAAAGGCCCAACCCTGCCCTGCCAGTTATTTGGACTTACGGGGGTCGCCATGGCAAATAATAAACATAAAACTGCACACGTTCGGGCTCTCCGCCTTCTCCGTGAAATTATAATACCGTAAAAGAAAACTAGAGGGGAAAAAAGAAGCAACAATGGGGAATAGGAACTGATTTAGGAACCACTTGCAGTCAGTTACACAGGGCAGCGGGCCTCGGCAACGGCCAAGGTAGCAGATGCATCCGCCACATCGCTGACGCGCATGGGGCGTCGCCGAGCACCACGCAAACAAACCATGCTGGAGCGAACCAGAGCAAAGCCAAGTCGGCAGCGAATCCACGCCATTACACGGTTGTACGGCTCCTTCGTCTTGTCGGACAGGAGCCCGGCAATCCGCTTATAGCAGGCTGTTGCCGACTTGCCCATGCCGCCTGTTGAGGAGAGAACGAGAGGTGAAAAAGTTGCATGTTCGATCTCTCGAACACGCTCCTCATAGCAGCGGCGTTTCTCCCGTTCGTGGCGCTGGTAGCAGGAGGGTACTGAGGTGGAGCGATTTGAAGCCGCGAAAGGGTTAAAAACCCGTACGTCGAAGAAAGTGCGGTCAAAACGCCCACCCCAGACACCACTCGCTGCTATATCCAGCCTAGCCTGGGGGTCCGTTATGGCAGAGCGGTAGCGGAATGCTTCCCCAGTTACCGGCTGCAGGTGTGGTTCAGTGGTGACGTTGTTGGCGACCCGTTTGAGGAGACCAGCCGTAACATCTCGTACCTCGTTGTGCCTCAGTGAGGGAAACCCACCCAGAGAGCACGACAAGGCGTGGGCGACGGTGAACGATGCACCACACGGGCAGATCGATGGAAGGTGGGCTGGCGGCCAGCCATAGCGGAGCGCAAGGCCATCCCGGAACTCACCCTTCGAGAGGGCAAAGCCATGGGCCTTCAGGGGTCTACAGGTCAGCCAAGCCGACGCACCCTTCTCCGCCGCCAGACCGACACAGAGCTGGATATCAGTGTTCTGCGTCAGGATGAACTCTTTGGCTGCTTGGGCCGTTGAAGTGCGGGTACGACTTGCCACCTCCCTCTTAGTGGACCGTACCAGGTCCAGCACATGGCCAATCTGGGTGTCCTGGTCCAGAATCTTGCGGACGAGCGCCGAGGTTATCGCTGCCGATGCCCGGAACTGGTCGCCCAAGGTGGTGGGGTCGACTAAGCCGAGGCCTCCTTCACGGCATGGGAAAGCAAGGACCCTTCGCTCACGTGAGTTTACTGGCTTACCGCACAGGGCAGGAATAAGGACATTGGTGATGGTGTCTTCCAGAGGGCCAAGATTTTCAGCAGCACACTCCATGACTCTGCACAGGAAGGACCAGCGATGCTTCAGGCCTTGCGTGAATGCTGCATAGGCAGCCTGTGGCTGGGTTTCGGCAATCTTGGCCAAGGACACGATCTCGTCTTTCCACCCGTTTGCCTTCTGGGGAACATAGCTCTGGACGAACTCCGTCGATCCGAGTGCAGCACCTAGAAACCGGTGGCCGTCGGTGGTAATGTGCACACCGGTCCCTGCAAAGGCGTCCTCAGCTTCCGTCAGGTGACCGGCCTTGACAACCAGGACTGATTTCTCAGCATTTGCTGCGTACCCATATGCCGGTCCTTTCTGTCGCAGAATATCCCACCAAGCGCGTAGTCGTTGGACTCTGCCGCCCGCGGAGGAGTCGTCTGCAAACCACATCTGGATTGTTCCCTCAGCCGAGAGAGCACGAATGAGGGGTAGAATGCCCAGCGCATACATCGGCATCGCGATGGGATCGCCTTGGGTGGTGCCCTCTGCCGACATGATGACGCTGCCCCCAACAAACAGCTTTGCGGGTTGTCGGTAGCTGTTAATAACGACTGTCGCCAGGGATGGGCATAGGTGACGCATGTTGCGCAGGCATGCTTCCCTGTTCAGCGTGTTAAACGCATTCGTGGCATCTGCCATTAAGACCGCTTCGGTATCCTCCTGGTCGAACGCCTGCTGCATGGCATGTATCGCCGCCTCGATCCCGCAGTCCTGGCCTGCACAGAGTTGAAGGGTGCCAGCTGCCTCTTGAATATCCTGACCAATTACGTACAGGATGGCCTTGCCCACCACTCTCCGCATCACCTCGCCAATCCCAATGGGTCTAACCCCGGGTTCTTGTTGAGGGGGATGAGTCGGGATGCCAGGTACGCTTCCAGCGATCGGGGGTCGACAAATTCGGTCGCCACACGTCGAGCAGAGCTTGCCAGCGCATCGCATAGCGAGTCAGACGCATCGGAGAACATTGTGCACATCCACCTCCATGCCTCAGCGTCTACACCTGACGGGCCGGCTGCGCCATGAGTGTTGAGTACCGCCTTTCTCACCAAGTCACGATTGAGACCAGAGAACCTGACCGGATGAGGCTGAGGAGGGGGAACACCTTGTATCAGGGCCTCCGTGGCTAGGGGCGCAGGGTCAGGGTGTTTGTCTTGCAGGACCTCTTGCACTGACTTGTCACCGATGCTGTCATCCAGCGCCAGGGCTCCAGCATTTCCGTTGGGGGCTAGCGATCGTAGGGCGTTGGATAGCTTCCCACTTGTCACCAGGTTTGCAAAGTGGCGTGCATCATCCTTCTCCTTGTTACCCCCGCGGTGGGGCCGGCTAGGTGCTGTGAGCTCCTCTTGAATCGTTCGGCATTCGTGCAGCAGGTCGTGTAGGTCCCCTCTGTGCCATGCTGCTAGGCGGCGCTGCAGGATATCTGCGGATTTCTCTGCAGGACCTGGCGGCTTCTGCAGCATCAGCATTTGGAAGACCATGGCTACTTTCAGAGCTATGCCTTCATATGGCCCACTGGTTCCAAAGCACACAATGTAATTGGAGAGTTGGGATACGAAGAGCTTGCCAGTGGCTCCTCGGGGTACCTGCATTGCATTCGGTCTACAGTGTACCACTTCTTCGTACACGTCTTGCACAGCCTGCACAGAATCCAAGTTGGTACGCTCGCCCAGAAGGAATCCTGTTGTGGGGGCAGTAGGGAAATTCGGGAGATCCCGTGGGCCTTCCTCCAGCTCCTGATCTGAGTGTGTCGGGGTCTGTTGCAGCTGGCTCTGATCCAGATTGGCTACGAGGTCGACCTCTTCTGGGGTGGGCACAGGGCTTTCCTGGGACGCACTTGTGCGTGCTTGATGCTGGTCCAGTGTCCTCCACGCATACTGCTGGGAGTCCGACTGAGCGCCGGCAGGAGGCTCGTCCGCTCCGCCCTCCGTAACCACGGTGGTTGGTTGCAGCTGATCCAGTGCTCTCCAAGCAAACTGTTGGGAGTCTGAGGCGGCGCTAGCGGTCTGATCGCCAGTAAATCGAGTGGATTGATTGGCCTCATGGTCAGCCGCCACCTCACCGCTGCACGGTAGATCTACGGGTACGGGATCTCGACATTCTGCCAGCAGGGTGGCGGTGAGAGCTGTGGCTGCACTGGCATCCACGCTGGCATCATCGCATTGTACGGTTAGAACTGTTCCCGTAGCGTTGTCCTGCACCGTAGGTTGTCGATGGCCGTTGACAGCTTGCTCCGGCTGGGGAGGAGAAGGGATGGCGGAATTTTTACAACGATCCTTCTTTGACGGAAGGCAGCTCCAGCATTTCCGTGCCGCCTTGGTGCAGTCACACCTGACGCAGGTGCCGTTGCCGTTGCACCGGCAACACTGGCCACTCTGCATCAGGGTGAGTTGCGAACGGGGCGCCAGAAACCAGGTCCGAGTGAGAGCTCAAACTCCCATCCGGCATCCGTCGCACTTGCTGCGTTTTTGGAACTGTAAAACCGAGTCACAAAGTCTGACGTTTTAACGACCAATTTTTTTCGTTTGTTGAAGAAACGTTATCGCTAACCCGGTTGGAGATGTCTGTGTAAAGATGCGCACAACTCGATGCATGTTCTGGGTGGCCAGGTAGCCACTTTCTGCATGTTATCATGCTAAAATATTAATTACAAAAACGTAAACTTTTTGGTCGTTAAACTTCTCCGGTTTTACAGTACACTGTACGCGGTACTCGTTGACTGAGAATGTGTTGCTGGCTGTCTTGCCAACAGTTACTTAGCATTCCTTCTCTTTTCTCTGCGATCCATATGCTATTGTTACAAATATTACCAGGGCGTAGCTGGTCCCCCTTTCAGCGGGATGCACGGCTGCATATGTGAAGGATGGCTGGTGCATGTCAGAGAGAGAGAGAGAGAGAGAGCGAGAGAGAGAGAGAGAGAGAGAGAGAGAGAGAGAGAGAGAGAGAGAGAGAGAGAGAGAGAGAGAGCGAAAGAGAGAGAGAGAGAAAGAGAGAGAGAGGGAGGGAGGGAGGGAGAGAGAGAGAGAGAGAGAGAGAGAGAGAGAGAGAGAGAGAGAGAGAGAGAGAGACACACACACACACACACACACACACACACACACACAAAGAGAGAGAGAGAGAGAGAGAGAGAGAGAGAGAGAGAGAGAGAGAGAGAGAGAGAGAGAGAGAGAGAGAGAGAGAGAGAGAGAGAGAGAGAGAGAGAGAGAGAGAGAGAGAGAGACAGAGAGAGAGACACACAGAGAGAGAGAGAGAGAGAGAGAGAGAGAGAGAGAGAGAGAGAGAGAGAGAGAGAGAGAGAGAGAGAGAGAGAGAGAGAGAGAGAGAGAGAGAGAGAGAGAGAGAGACTATGTTGCGACTCTGCGACACAAACAACACTTTTATCATAACGCATGTATTAACACATATATTCAAAAAGCAAAAGCCACAATAAACAAATCACAAAGTTCCAATCCAGTCGGAGTCCAGCAAGACTGAGAACGATGATAACAAATCGTCCGACGGAGTATCAAACTTCAGAACGGCCGGCCATGATGCCACTGTACATGTGGCGGTGCACAGGTCAGATCAATGTCTGGCGATCCCCGTCGCAGGTGTTCCCGGGCTACTGGATCAACCATCTTCTGGGCCAGGGGGCACCAACCCTCGGGGTCGGCGCGAGGAGTGAGCCAGAGTCTGGAAAACTCGTCTGAAACGCCCACACTTCCCTTTACTGTTGACTGATAGGCGAGGAAGGCGTTGAAGAGTTTCTCATCGGACATGACATGTTCCAAATACCTGCCTACATCTTGAGCGGAATCGAAGTCGCTCAGATCAATGTAGGAGTGATTGTTGGGCATGCGTTTAGCGTAATCCGGTCGACCTCGCCACGTGGACACGATGGGTACGACGCCGAGCATCAGATAGCGCAGCGACTTCTCAGAGATGTAGTCTGTACAGAGCGCACTTTCCAGCGAGAAAGCAAGCTTGTACTTGCTCAGAGAATACGGAACGTTGTTCCACTGGTTGTCTTCTTTCGGCAGGTTGCGGTTATGGAAACACTTGCCATAGTTGTGCATTTCCACTAGTCGACTCAGGGAGCGCAGCACACCCGTACGATTGTTGTACGCGTTGCAGTTGCTCACAAGAGACGCCACGGCTTTCGGGACTCGCTCGGCGAACGGCACAAGTGACCGGTTCGGCATTAGCGAGAGCGTGAACTTTGCTCTGGCCGCCCATTCACCCGGCACAGGTGGATACGATGTGTACAGATGTGCAGAGAAATGATAGGAACGCGCAATGTTAACGGCATGCTTCAGTACGTGCACGACCTTCGAGTGCTTCCAAACCGGACTCTCCATGAAGAAAAGGAGAAAGATCTGCTCGGGCTTGCCGCGCTCTGGAAGCCTGGCCGGTAGGTTGAGAAGATAGAACTCTACAATGTCGGCGTCGGCTAGTCGCGATCGGTTGCCCGTCATCAGCCATGTTACACCGCTGTCAGTGCAACACTCGAAGGGCAGCAGATCATGCTTTGATCCAGCAAACGTGTCTGTGCCGCCAATTCTGCTCCAGCGCAGCACCAGTACGAACTTGCGACGGCACGAGCGGAACTCGTCTTCCAGCGACGATGTGCTTACACAGGAGGAGGGGAAGAGAACGTCACGGCCACTACTGAAGTGAAACACCTGCTGTGGATGCGACCAGTGGATGGCTGGCTTCCACAGCGCCTCGGTACGGTACTGCTTGCCCAGCCAATGCGTGCTACAGTTCTCGGCTTTGGACAGCGATGTGCCGGTTCGTTCTGGAGCTTGTTGCGTTGCTAGATTGGTGACGGGAAGATATGGTGTCGTTGGCTTAGCTGTTTGGCTCGATGTATCCACAGTTCCTGTTCGGTGGCTTTCTTCGCCAGTGTGTCGTACTGGCGTACCAATTCTCTGGGACAGTCCAGCGCGGGTACCTGCCATCTCGTCATGCAGTTTAGCTGCCGTGCTGGGACCGTATGGCGTTGTGCTTGACTGGGTAGATGAAGCTTTGGTCAGAGCATGCCGCTGCTCGTTCCTGGGCGTTATCCAGATGTTCTCCTGCCGGACATAATGCTCAACTTTCTGCTGTATGTCTCTCCCATAAGGGCTCGTGCTCCACACATGGAGGCAGAGAGGAGCAGCAATGCCGATTAGTGCGAGCGCAGCAATAGCCAAGCGGAGGAACCCACGTCTGTCGGTTCTAAACGGCACAAATCGGGACCGCTTGAGCGCCGACATTTATTTCATGGCCCGTCGTGACCAGATGTCCACGAGGGCCCCAGCTGCCCAGACTCGCATCGACAATGTGCCAATTATTTGGCAATACCTTGAATACGGCAATAGTAAATTCCAAATCCACTCCTCGACTTCACTGGGTGATCATGGCGGCCATGAGATACATGGCACTGTATAACAACTTGACGTGCTATCCATTGAGCGTAACCAGTACGGACTGCTCCGAGTCTTGAGAAAAACTGATCGAGTCTGCTGACTACAAGCGCGAAGACCAGTACAGAGCTTGGGCTACTAGGCGCCAGGCAGGTGCTTCGGCTTGAATGCTTCTCAGCGCGATGCGAAGCAAACTAGTACAAGTCCAGCAAACCAGGTGAACTGTAACGTACGTCTCCTACATGTACTGAACTCAGTAACTTACTTCTCAAGTCGAGAAGATCAAAATATCCTCATTATCAGATTACAAACATTTTGCAATCAATGTAGCGAATGGGGCACCAACATCAAGGACCCGAGTTTAGCCGTAACGAAGTGTTCCTTATCGTTTTCAGGACCTTCTCATCAGAGGAGCGTACAGCTACAGGCAAAGAGATACCGGTAACAGTGATTCACATACCGGCATGAACAAGATCGAGAACCACAATTAGGGACCTTTCTGTTTTGCATTCCGAATTTCGGAATATTTTTCGGAACCTGACTTTGACAGTCGAAAATGTAGGCGAAATCATTGTGACGTGACATTTTGTGATTTATCGACAAAATGAGTTTACAAAAATGGAAAAAATCTTGCTATGCAAATGTGCCTGATATCGATGGCAGTGATAAACGTCTCTACATGCTAGCTGCTGCTGTCGACTGCTACATGCTGTCTGTGTTCGGAACGATGTAGATCACAGTCATACAGTTTCTAGTTCTACAAAATGTAAGTAACGTTTAGTTTAGTTTTATTCCAAGCAAGCTATGGCTGGGGTAGCCAAAATAGAAGAAATCACATGGAAACAAGTTATGAAGCCGCTGAACTATCCACGAGTGTAACACATGTATCTAGTCCAGAGCAATTTATTCCCGCCAACTCAATTCGGCTACAGATCCCACCACTCTACATCCGACGCACTAGTGCTAGCTGTGGAAGGTATCTGTGAGGCCCGCATGAACAAACTCAACACAGGTGTAGCCTTTGTTGATATGTCAAAGGCATTCGATAAAGTGAAACATCAAACTCTTGTGCAAGATCTGTTCGAACTTGGCATCTGCGACACGGCACTCTGTTGGCTGGTGGATTACCTCTCTGATAGAGAACAGTACGTTCAGGTTGGCCAGACTAGAAGTCTCCCGTACACCAGTTACTCAGGTGTCCCCCAGGGTTCGGTACTGGGCCCACTGCTATTTATTGTCTATGCCCGCGGCATAGCAGAAGAACTATCGCCGTTTAATGTGGGAGCAATCCAGTTTGCTGATGACATCTCTATACGATGTAGCAGGGAGTCTGCGGAAGCTGTTTCTGCACACCTTTCAGCTGCTGTTCAGCACCTGGCCACCTGGCTGAAGGGCCGTGGTTTAATTCTTAATGAAAGAAAGACACAGATATTGCCTATTCCCCCATCCCCATCTCAAGCACTTGAGCTGCATGTCATTTGTAATGGGCAGACGCTGCCTGTTGTGAAAACGGCCAAGTATCTTGGCCTACATTTCGACTCAGACATGAGCTGGAACACCATGACAAGCCATGTTGCACGCCGCGTTGCCGCTAAGATTGGGCTACTAAATCGAAGTGCAGCATGTTTGCCTTTTTCTTGCCGTGTTCAGTTTTTCAGGTCCTTTATACTATCAGAATTTGACTATGCATCTGCTGCCTATGCCCCTTTCTTATCGTCTTATCAGGATAAGCGCCTAAATAGTTTGTTCAAACGTGCGGCTCGCTCGGTGTGCAGGGCAGCCCCTCGCACTCACACGGCTCCCTTACTTGAACGCATGAATGCCCATACCCTCAGCATATACACCCACATGCACATTCTTGTATTCATTTGGCGCTGCCTGAACAAATCTTCAAGTACTCTGTTTGCAAGCTTTTTCACCCGTAGTCCCTCTCTCCGAACACGAGGAGGGAGCAGCAAGTTACTCATCATTCCTGTCTCCCCCACTGCATCCTCAGCTAAGCGCATTAGCCATGCTGGAGCTATCCTGTGGAACCAG